CGAGAAGCGTGGGCTGAATTTACCTCTACTCTTTCATTAGCCTGCCCCCACCACAATTACATGTTGACACCACGCACAGTGAACAGAATAATTTGAATACTTAAATACATTGCTGGAGGTCTCACTGAACTGCCATTAGAAACTGTCAAAAAGGCAAACAAAACATTGTTATTTTCCATCAAGTTTTTTTACACAGCCTAAAACCATAATGCCATTATATAAAAATTAATGGCCCTACCCTTGCTTAAGAACGGTGTGTTCTGCTCTAATCAGGCTCTCTCTCATGCACAGTTTCAAGTGTTTGGACAACAGTGATGAAAATATTAGGCAATATGGTGGCAAGTTATTTCTAAGGCACGGACTGCTTAGAAAAAGGCATCTAGAAGCATTGGCCATACCAGTAAACAAAGGGGGAATCCGCACACCTTCTGTTAAAATATAACTAGGAGCATCTCCCAGCAAAACTGACCAGCAACCGGGTTAAAAACTGCAACACAGCCAAGACCCACAGCACCCGGCATGGCCAGTTGTCCTAGTGCAGGTAAGATTGTTACAGGACACTGCATTCACACTGTTAAAATACTCCTATCACTCTAGGCAGAGTAACATACATTTCAGTAAGAGCAGAAGACCTCAGGAAAGCAGGCCAGCTCCCTGGCAGTGGCTAGGAAGAAGGCACTGCTGGGAACAGGCTGCTTCATCTCTGTCTCTTACAGAGTTTCTCCAGTGCCCTCTCTGCCCTGCTCCAGCCTTACCCTTCCCCTCAGTGTTGGAGTGGTTGGGCCATGCATTGGTCTATCCCACTGAGCAATTCCATGGTAGTTGTGGCCCACAGTACATAAGAGGATTTATTTCTGACCACAACTAGTGTAAATAATCATTTCAGAACAGGATTGGTTGGACAGTGGAAGAGTTTTAATACCAAAGGGCACAGGTGAGTAGAAGGTGCTGAACTGCCAACATGGCATGGAAAAGCCGAGGCATTTCTGAGAATGTGGAATAAAGATTCCCAGAAATCAACTACTTCCCAGTATCCCAGAAAAAAAAAACACGCGTCGCTTTTTTTCCTGCATCATTAACCATTTTTAGGTTAAGAATTACTACCCATTAACACAGTGAAGTACACTCTGCTAAATACAGGCCTGTATCAAACACGGATCATTTCTCCTCGAGGAGTAGCGCAACAGGGAACAGGTTTCAGCCAGCAGCCTGCCGAGGCTGCACGGGGAAAGCAATCACCATCACGAGCACAGAAGGGCACCGCCAACGAGAGGAAGCCTTTCCTGTGATCCGAGTGAAAACCAGCAGAGCAGACAGGCAGCGTATCGAGCTCCACAAAATTAAGCCCTGCATATACTGTATTTGTAATAGTCCCAACGGTCTGGCACAAAAAATGCTGCATTGCAACTTACCCCTCGGGAAGAGTCGGGCACCCACATCTACTCTGAGTCAGGACACGTGTATTGTACCAGAAGCACCACCAGCATTGGAATCCCAGCCAAGAGTGCTGCAGATTAGATCCCCACGAGTTGGTCTGTCTTCCGAAATGCGACCCATTAGACACCACTAGGAGGTCAGGACTAAACTCTCACAGGGCTGGCTACCTGCTTGTCATCTTCTTCGGTAGATTAAGCTAGCCCATGACACAGAGACAAAGCCTGAGTTTATTTGGACAGTGCTTAAAACTGGCAGTGTACTTCACAGATGACCTGACTGCAAGTCTACTAATTTAAAACAAACAGATTTCAAATATTTTAAACTTTTGATTTAGCAGGCGCATTACTTCGCGTCTCAGAAGTTCACCATCTGCTGGGTTTACCTTTTAAGTCTCTCCACACTCCGGCTGCGCAGCCATCTGGGATGAGATAATTTGAACAGCAGACTGTTTCCTCCCATGTTACTAGAGAGGAAGAGCAGCCAAGCATGTATGAATAAAGTCTATTTCATTCTTTCAAACAAAGGTGGAGGAGGATGATTTGAAAGTTAAAAAAAAAAAAGAGAGGAGGGGGAAGGGAAGAAAACTAAAAATGGCAACCCCACTTTCCATCTTCAACTGCACCATGACTACCAGAGCTGAGTCAAAGTTACTATTGATAAGCAGGAGAGAACAGAGCCTGACTTACAGATCCTAAGGTGAATCTGCAAGGCTGGCAGCTAGAAAGCTTTTTCATTTGCAAAGCAAAAAGGGAAGAAGTAGAATCAAAGCAAAACAATGAAGTTCAGTCTACATCTACAGACTGAGATTAGCATCTCTTGTCCATCTGCTGGTGCAAAGCAGGCAACATCACTGAGGTTAAGTGCACCTACGTGGACTCAAGAGTATCCACACCTTCTGCATTTTCTGTAGGAAAAATCTCATTAAGATACCAAATGCCAGCATCGTAAGTTAGACAGATACAGAAGGAACTGTAATGACAAAGCATCAATAAAATGTATCCCTTCACTATCAGTGGCTTTGAAACAGTGAATCCCCTATGCTAATTCTCCTAGAATAAGTCACAGCCACCTCAAATCCTTTGCTATTCAAAATACCTCAACAGGCATAGGAGGCACTGAGAAAGAGTGTTACAAAAACCAACCAACCAACCAAAACCCTCTGGGTTATTTCTACGTCGATCAAGAACTTTGCTTTGTTCAACATGGTTAAAAGCAGTCAGGAGTGGTGGCAGGAGTGGCAACACTTAAAAAGGTTGCATTGTGACGACTCCCGTGCAAGGTCCTCAAAAGGAGCTGTGCAACCACTTAAGGAAGAGGTAATTCCGCTCTACAGAAATAACACTTACTGTGTCATTGTCAGCTCCTTCTAAAATCTTGACAAGCCCGTGCTTCAGGCACGCTGCCTGTCTTGTCAGAGGGAAGCACCACAACACACATCCTACACTTTGTCAAAAGAGTAATTCTCACCCAAAATCATCGTAAATTTGCATGACAGCACAAAGGTGAATTTGGAAGCAGGCAACAGAAGGCTCTGAGGCTTGCGTGCCGCCAACAGTGCACGGCTCCACTCATTTTATAACACCAGCAACAAAACTTTGGTAAATCGGCCACCGAGAGGAATTCTTTTTTCACCTGTTAAGTGAACTCTAAAACCTGTTCAGTTAACTCTAAAAAATTCTTACACACGATCATGTTAAAAATACTCATTCCCCACGTGACGTTTCACACTAATGGCCAGCCCTCTGAGGAAACTACTCATTGAAATAATTTCAAGTAATGGCAAGTAGAAGGAAGAACAGATTACACACTCCATATACAGCGCTGGGGGACCAGAGAACAGCCAGCCACAGAGCCCACGCCCTGCCCTGCAGATCCACATCTGGCTCATCCTGGTCTTCTCCAGGAGCAAATCTCAATTCCCAGTCCAGGTTTTGTCATCCAGCCTTTCACTCCTCATAGGCAAGACCATAAAACCTTCTTTCTGAAATCATCTCAAAAGGCAAGTTTGAAAAGACAGGGGATTAGGAAGCAATCGATGAGAACTGCAGCAAAGCAACAATTTACTCAGCAGGGTTGTCTCGATAAAAATCTGCTCACTGACAATTTCTATCTCACCTCTGTTATTTAAGTTCATCCTTTCCCCACTGTCTCAGGCTCTCAGTGCTGGCAGTCAGAGACCTGACCCAATCCAAAGCCCCCAGAGAGACACACAGTCCCAGTGCCCTCCATAGCACTGGACTCCAGAGCTCAGCAGACAGACACTGCTGTGCTTAGGGAGAGCTCAAAACCACATACCTTGTAGTGCTGCAAACACTCCCCGTGAGGAAGTGACAGAGACAACAAGTTTCATCTATTCCTTGACCCTCAACAAATTGAGGAAGTCTGTAACTATTGCCCCTGGGGTGTTCTGAAATAAGACCTCTCTCTCCAAGAGGAAACAAGCTCAGGATTAAGTGAACAGAACTGCCCTGCAAGCAGCACGCAGCCGCCTACAGACCGGACTTTTAGGAGCTGCCAAAGCTTAACCCACCTGGCCTCTAGTCTCACTGTGATCATAAGGAAGAGCAAACAGTCATCTGGCCAGCTGTTTGATGTACACAGAGAGAACTGGGCTGGATAAAGAAGACAGTTCGTTTTTGTAAGAAACAATATATTTTATTTTTCTGACACCACAGCCCTGGCGAGTGGTTTTGTACCAAATTTAATGGAGGTTACACAGAACGTTTTACGCTGGGGAGGAAAAAAAAAATAACCACAAAAAAAAATCCTGGGTAACTTTTAGTGTCTGTTCCACTCCCACATTAATAAAATCACTTGGGGTTTCTAAGAAAAGGAGAATAGGAAACAGTGAGAGAGACTACTGTAGGATGTAACAGTGTCCAAGTCCAGCCCCTTCCTAGAAGTGGGAAGAGTCCCCACGTGAGGAGAGGCTCTCCTAGATTTACTCCCCAAAATAACACAATGTATTGCAGCTGCCATAGGAGGAGACAGAAGGGGACGGAGAGAGAGAAGCCTATTTAATAAAGAGTGGGAGGGAGAGACAGAAGGTGCTGGACAGCACGCCATAATTTGAAAAATATGTCCTTAACTTATTATTTATTTCTTTTAAAAGATTCCCCTCACTGAACTTAAGTTCCTTTTTGTGCTTTTCATTAATACTCTGCTCTGAGGTCGTAGTTTGGTTTTTCTATACATTGGGTGTTGAAGGAAAATAGTCCGAAGTTCTGAAGATGGATTCTCCACCTAAAGTAAACAGCCTAGAATCCCATTCTCCTCTCACCCCAAAGACTAAAAGTCTCTGCTAAAATCCCTTTTACAATATAGTACAGTACACAAAAAACCCCAAAAATAACCGAGAGTCCTGGGAGAAGCCAGTCCGAAGGACGTAAACATACAGAGAATGGTGCAACTTGTGACAAATGGCAATTCTCAAAATACAGCTACAGATTCTCAAAGCAGGTGCCGTCACGGGATACCCAAGTCCACAAAAATAATTTTTAAAAAATAAATCTTAAAAAAAAAACAACCTGTTTAAATGAATAATTTTTTTTTTTTTTCAGGTAATTCCATACATTCGAGATTTCCCAAAGCGTCCTCTGGTCTCTTTTCACCTATTGCATGGCCAAACTGTACTCCTGAAGCTCCCAAAAAAGCCCTCAGGACTTGGAATCTCATCTTGACAAGGATCAGAACATCCAGTCTTATGGTAGCAGCTTAAAACATCATGTTCCCTGGGTTTCCAGGGCCTTGGCTAAATCCTCCCATGCCAACGTCAGCAGCCATACCTCGGGGCCTCATCTGGGGGGGAATCATGATGTTTTGTTGGGGTCCCATCATGCCCTGCATTGACATCATCATCCCGGGCGACCCCACGGGGCCCGGGTGGCTGTACAGCCCCGCGGGGGCTCGGTCCTTGCCCGGGATCATGCCCACGGCGGCCACGGGGTTGCTCATGAGGGCGGGCTGGCCGGGCATGGCCGGCTGTGCTGGTGACATCATGCGGTGGTGCGGCCCCATCATGCCCTGCTGCAGGAAGGCCGGCGGCCTCATCGGGTTGTGGCCCGGCATGGACGGAGCCGTCCCGAGGGGGATGTCCGGAGTTCCCACCGGCCCAGGGCCCCCCATGCCAGGCAACGTTAGTCCCATCCTCGGGGTCTGCTCTCCTATCATCCCCTGCATGTGGGAGAAGCCAGGCCCGGGACCCTGCGGCTGCTTGCGGCCTGGCACCTCCCCACGAGGGAAATACTGTAGTGTCTGGCTGGGCTTCTCCGACGGGATAATCCTGGACAGGTCAAACTCGGGTATTCCCGTGGCTCCAGGGCGGATCACCTCCTGCAGCTCTGGATCAGTGAAAACCGAAGGCATATTGTTTCCAAGAACAGTGAAGGAGTCTGGACCACCAGGGCCTCCAGTCTTGCAAAGTGCTGGATCTGTCGAACTTTGGGGCAGGTTGGTAGGACGCCCCAGAGGTCCTTCTCCGTGGAAGCCCATTCCCGCTGGGAAGTTGCCTTGTCCACCGCTGGGCCCGTTGTGTGGAAATGGCACCTGCTGTGGAGGGGACTGTACGGGGGGGAACCCCTGTGGGAAGCCCAGGCGTCCTTGAGGTACCATTGGAGACTCCTGGGAACCGTGCCCCATCATTGGGTTGTGTGACATCAGGCCGGGTCCCACGGGGACCCCATGAGGAGGTATATTGGGTCCCATAGCATTTGGAGAGGGCATCTGGTTGTTATGGGAAAGAGGCTGGGTCATTCCCATTGGGCTAAGGGTTGGCATTGGACCCACTGGGTTTGGACCTGAAATTCGAGGATTCTGAGAATTAATGCCCATTCCTAGGGAAGAAATAAGGAATCACATTTAGACAGCAGCCAGTAATAATCAATAAAGCTATCAGAGAGCTTTCTGCAAGGTTATCAAGTCCGCACACACACACCAAAAAAAAAAAAATCAGCCCTAGTAATAAAACATCAGCCGTGGCTCTGAAAAGTGTTATTTTAACCAGAAATTCGATGGCACCTGAATAGCTGCTTCCCTAAGCTTCTCACTGCCCTATGAAACAGTGACTAAAGCCTGCTCCATAAGGAGGATCTCAATCCAACCCACACCTTTACTACCTCCCTGGCAGTCCACATGATGCAGGCAGTAACAAACGTGTGTCTGTGACAGATTATCAGCACATGGGCACTTGTCTACTGGGAAGTGACAGAATCTCCTCTCAAAACTCAAGCAGTGATAAATCAGGTAACCCTTGTAAGACTAGGAGGCAGCGATCAATGAGGTTAATGAGTTATCATCATGAACTTATTCAATTAGCCAGCTTCCCCAGATACATTCAGCCACCCCGATCATTACTGAGTGAAACACAGGGCAAAGCTACAGGTAAACTCAGCAAGAACTCATTACCAATTGCCACTCCCATGAAACATCCACCCATTCCTCCTTTCAGCTGTTAATTCAATTGGGTGGAGGGACTACAGCCTATTTTTGTATTAAACAGGTACCCATGAGAATTAAGCTATCAGCAGGGTCTAGATTTCTCATATAAACGTGCTCACCCACACGACAGCCCAAAAGGACAATGTTTTATTTTACTTTTCCTTTAACTCTTTCAGGTAGGGACCTGGACAGTTTCCCTCAGTCCTGGCTGAGGTCACCTGCCATTACATATTCCCTGTATGGGAAGATTTATGTTTTCAGAAAGTGCTCCAACACTCTCTTTTATTAAAAAGGCAATCCACAAAGCTCAGGATTAGACCTGATGATTCAGTGTCAAAAAAACCCCCAAACCAACCCCAAAAAACCAGTGAAGCTTCTATGACACTGCCTTAACACAGGGGAGATATGGTTTCCTCTGAATAAGAGTCTGACCCTTATTCCCATGAGCAGCCCTCACTCACACAATTAATTCCAGTCTGCCTGAGTGGAAATCTCCTCCATACATAAAGGTTTTCCAGATCAGACAGTTTCTGGACGGAAAAAAAAAAAAACCAGCTCCAAGGAGAATTTCCAGCTCTGCATTTCAGAGAATTGCAACTGCCTTCCTCAAAAACAACACATGGCTATATATTCCTCGAGTTTTTTCCCTCTCTCACCATCTTCATTTGATGAAGCTTCCGTAAAAATCACCCTCACTGTACTGCCTGATACTTTGTGCTTAATGTTTCTTTGATTTTATTACCTGGTACACTGTTCATAGGTGGCAAGTTTGGGGAGCGGGCTGGAGGGGAGTCATCATCCGAGCTGGCCACAGTTTTGATGGCATCATGATAGAGCGGTGTAGAGCTCGGCATGGCAAATTTGGACATCCTGGACATCATAATGGAGAGGGGATTCTGGGAGAGGGTTGGCTCTGGAGGCATTGTGTAAGGACTGCTAGAGGGAAGATTTCCAGGGAGAGTCACAGGAGCAGATTGGCTGACTGTGGAAGGAGGTGGACCACCTTAGGAAAAAAGGAAAAGACAGAAAGAAAGTTTAATTTTTCATCCTTTTTCCTTAACTCCAACTCTTTTCCTCTAGAAATCTCAAACACTAGAAATCTTTTTTACTGCAAAACTTTACATGACTAATGTAATCAATGCCTGCGAAAGGTAACCAGAACAGACCAACTACTGGTCAAGCTGGTTAATATCTGTTATCCTACTGGAAAACACTTCTACTGGAACTATCTTGAGCCTCTACAAATCTACACGAAGAATTACCAGTTTAGTCTGAAAATCTTACTATTCGATTTCCATACACCGAAGACAGACTTAGGTACAGGGGTTAGCCATAGAAATCAAAATCTATAATCGTTTAGTTGTTCCTGCATCCACCAAATGTCAACTGTAATTCCTTTCCCCTTTTCTTTAGGAGGTATCAAGCAAGCACAAAAGACACAGGCAGCACAAGGAAAACTGTGGCAGGTATTTCTGACAAACTGCATGAGGAGCTACAACTCTGCTTTATGTTTCATTACATATTTCATGCATACATATTAGCTGCTTATTCCAGTTAAAGAAGCATTCTCTGTACTTATTATCTTAACATCATCCTTCGCTCTCCCAAAGAAGTGCAGAAGTAACTGCACTGCCCATCTCCTTTGTTCTTCCACTGATAAATTCCATGAAACTCCCACCGCTGTGAAGGAAAGATGCTAAACCAAAGTTGTACTCTCACTGAAAATTCACTGCACGTTCCTCAGCCACTCCCAACCAAAAAAAAAAGAAAGTAGAATAGATAACACTAAAATTCTGCAATGCCAAAACACTCATGCTTTGGAAGAGCTGTGTGTAAAAGCACTCATCAAGCAACACTTCACACAGATTGCACAGATTATTCTGGGTTGGAAGGGACCCACAAGGCACAGACAAAAGCACTAGGTTCTGACTTGTAGGCACCTGGGCTCACGCCGGGCCTGGCCTCAGCAGACACTAACACCCAGCCTGCTTTCCCGAGCACAGACCCAGCCCGCAATCCCAGGGTTACCCTTGCCAGCAGCCCCGCAGGCATATCCCAATCCCCATCCCGGTCCCGGCCGCCGCCGCGCCGTTACCCGCGGCAGCACTAGAGGGCAACGTGGGCAAAGGGCTCCTCTCTCTCTCCCAGCCGGAAGAATTTCCCGGGCGGGAAGGACAGCCCAGAGGGGTGAGTGTGCTGCAGGGTGAGCTCCGGGAAGGTGAGGACAGAGGCATGCCAGCACCTGGAGCCTGAGGTCCCAAGCACGGCACAGCTCGGCACACAACTGAATGCTACGGTGATTAGATCACTCCAGAACCTTTGAAGCCTGAAAAACTGAAGCACAACTTCCTGTCTGCAGTGTAAACCTGAAAAGCACCAACCACACCTGAACCATGCCTAGACACAGGGCTGGCTAAGTGTGCTCAGCATGTCTTTGTAGGAGCTTTTTATCTCAAAGAGTTTTCATAACATAAGCAGGACCTTCTCCACAAAGCTACAATCACCATGAGCTACAACAGCCAGACCCCTACAAAGAGAGATTTCTCCCATCAACTCTCTACATCTTTTCACACCTCCTGACCCCATGCTTTGGCTTTTATGTCCTCTGAGTGATCAGCCCTCAGCTGGACACATGGGAGGCACAGTACTCACCCACAAATACGAGAGGAGGAAAAGCCCTTGCCCTTCACTCAAACAGCCCCCCTCAAAGAGGCAAACAGCCATCCAGCCCCTGCCCTGTTGAGAGAACCCTTCTCCCTCCCTTGCTGCACACGTTGGGTGACCCGACGCGAACCAAAGCGCCGGATCCGGCTGCCGAAGGCGGCACTCACCCGACTCCACGTTCCCCAGCATGGCTGGAGAAGACATGGTCAGAGACGCCTTGTGGTTCGGGGGAATCCCGGGGCTCTGCAAAGGAGGCTTTGGAGATGAAGTCCATCCAGGAGAAGGTGCGGGGAGAGACGGAGACTTGAGGTGGACAGGAGAAGCAGCAGCAGACCCCAAGACAGGGGGGGACTTAATGGAGGCAGCAGCGGCTGCGGCAGTGGGGCCCGCGAGCATTCCTGCCAGCTGGGAGGGCGTCTGGGGGGACTTGAGGTTCCCCGAGGGAGACCCCATCATGGGAGACTGGACCTGGCGCATCGTGGGGGACTTCAGGGGGTTGATTCCTGGCGAATGCACCTGACCAGCTGCAGAGATATCCAAGGGCTTGCGGCCGAGGCTGCGCTGCGCGGGGGGAGCAGTGTTGAGGCTATTGGGGTTACTGGTGGGATTGAGAGGTAGTGGCGGCATGTGGCTGAGCCGGTTGTTAGTCCTTTGGTCAGGCCCGATCTGTTCTCTGAGATTCCGGAGACCGACTCCTGGGCCCTGAGACATGGGGAGGAAAGGCCTGGGACCCATGCCATACTCCTGCTGCGGGTGCTCCCCGAACGGCAGCGGCACCATTTTCTGCTGAGAGGAGAGCATCTCCGAGACGCCAGGGCGCAGCTTCATCATCTCTTCCGGCCCGACTCCTGCCTCCCTCAGCTTCTGAGGGACCAGGGGTGGATTGGAGCCCATGCTGACATTCATGCCCATGTCCCCCTTCATGCTGCCAGGGCCCATCCCAAACTCCAGCTCCCTGCTAGAAGCCATTTGTGGGGGTATTCCTTTTGGGAAGTCCCCCCTGGAAGGGCTCATCGGTCCTTCTACCGGCATGCGAGGGAAGATGGGGTTGTTGCCAGGCTCCATGTGTCTCTGGGAGGGCATCATTCTGTTTATCTCCATGCCGGGCCTGATGCCTTCCATGTTCAGACCAGGAGGAAGGCCCATCTGTTTCTCAGCCAGCTGCTGCTGGTAGAGCTCTTCGGGCAGGCCCTGTGGATTGGGAAACCGCTCCCCTCGGCCAGGGCCACTGAAGACACCCTGGCCAGGAGGGAAGTTTCGGCCGTCTGGGATTTTTGGCACATCATCTGGCCAACTAACTCCTGAAAGCCCAGGCCGTGAGGCGGGATTCGGGACACTGGGGCCCTCCATCTCAGGGTTCATCATTCCTGCAAAACCAGGTAGGCGCATTTGGCTCCCGGGTACGTTGGGATGAGGGGCCATGCCCCTGGGGGGCAGAGAGTGTGACATGTTCATGCCTTCAGGGAAGGGCTCTGGGCCCCCAGGTCCCCAGCCCTCACCAGGGGTCATCTGGTAGGGAGGAGGAGGACCTCGGACCACCCCACGAGGCCCGTGCTGGTGGACCATCATGTCCTGCAGGGAACACTGCTGCACAACCACCTGCTCTTGCTTTCTCCTCTTCTCCTCGTAGAACTCCTGCTGCAGCTTGAGCCAGGCCACCTGCTCAGGAGTCATATGGTCCAGGTGGTCTGGGCCTATGGGTCCTGACTGGGAGTTCATTGGTGGTGGCCCCATTTCATCTGGAGAAAAAGGCATGTCCCTGTGTCCTTGAGGGCCAAATGGAGCCCCTCCATCTGTCCGAGACCCTGACCCTTTGCCTAAACTTTGGGATTGAGCCATCATAGCCTGTATCGGCCCTTCAGGTTTCTTTTGGGGACCATCCAGCACCCCAGCATTTGGGGGAGGCCCCCCACTTTGCCCTCCAGCAAACTCCTTCTCATCAGGGAAGAGCATGCGTTGTATGTCTCGCAGGGTCTGCAGTGAGCGCTCTCGGTGCTCCAGCTGCTCCTGTGACAGTCCATCTGGATTCTCGCCCAAACTGGATGGGTCCCCACCAGACACCTGCTGGGGAGGACCTTTGGGGTCTGCAGCTGAGCTATTGCTACCTTGGGAAACCGGGCTAACCGCTCGGTTATTGGGGGTCGAACTCTGCCCAAATCCTTCCGTCTGCAATGGGGTAGAGTTGGCAGGGCTGCCCACGGACATCACTTTGCTTTCCACGCTGGGACTGTCTTGATCTATGGGACATGGGGGGCCAGTGGATTTGGACACCGGCGCTGACACGGGTGGGGTCGGCTGCATTTTGGCGTTCTGGGGAGGGTTCTGGTCCTGGGCAGCGGGGGGCTGGGGCTGCGGCAGGGGCTTGGGTTCAGTCCGAAGTGCAGTGATCTGGGGGTTCTGCAAGAGAAAGCCACACGTTGTCACCTGTTCTTCCTACAGCCCTGGCACACAAGCAGCAGTGCAAACAAAATGCCCAGTCTCAACCCCACCAGCCCAAACTTTGCAGGGAAGGGTAGCCTTCATGTAGCCATTACAGAACAGCACCTCTTTTGCTCAAGACATTACTGCAGGAACCCCTTTCTTCTGTGCTAGTTCTGCATGAGCAATGGGCTGGAAACACACTACCCAAATATTGCAAGACTCAAACTCTTCTTTGGATGACCCAAGACATTTGTGTGCAGAAGGTTTGAACAAAAACTGTCTTCCTGAAACTTATTTCAGAGCGTAAATAACCATCCATCACTCTGAATCACACACAAGCACATTGACCGTTTCCCCTTCCCACCCACACGCAGGTATTCCCTACCAAGGGTACAGTGTTTCGTTCCGCCTTGCTGTTTGAGATGTTCTGGATATGAAAGGACACAATGGTTTCCACCTGTCCCTTCAGCACAGCTTCTGCAGCCCTGCAAAGACAGACAGGCAGATGCACATATCCAGTTGAAGCTAAGAATCGATTTTTCTCAACTGGCCTCCCTCCTGTCTTTCAGCTGGCACAAGGCAGAAAGACTCAACCACAAGTATTTCACTCTAGATGAGTAGCAGCAGAAAAATGCTTACATCTACAAACTCATCAGCATTCAGGGTTCACGTCTCAGTTTAGCCCATCCTGCACAGATTGCAAAACAACATCTACCACCATTGGCAAGAAACAAATAAAAATCTCCATTCCTTAGAGGAACAAGCAGTCATTTCTCAGAGGGAAAAAAAAGTAGGGACATTCTCCTCTACAGCCCCTCCAACGACCCCAAAACAAGTAATGAGTTTTTGCTACTTGATGCAGAAAGTGCCCTTGACAGTCTCTTAAAAAGCAAGCACAAACAGAACTCCTGCTCCCTGAAGACATTCAAGCATCTACCTACTTACTTGTTGGCCATCTCAGTAGAAAAGACGTAAACCACTTTGGATGGAGTCTTCTGCCCACTTGCTGGCTCCAAAGTGGCAGTCAGACCATGGGAAGGTGTGGAAGACCTTGGGGCTGAAGCATTTGAAGGAGTCATGGAGTGTGGTGTGTGCTGAGACTCCTGGGACTTCACGTGATCAGCAGAATTGCAGTCTGGAAGGGGAGAAAGAGGAAAAGAAAGGAATTACTACCTTGGGAGCACTTTGGAAACCATTTCTGGAAACTGATCAGAGCTTTTTCTCCTCAGAATTTTTCTGCTTCTTCCTCAAGCAACACTAAAGGCAATTCTCCTATTACACCATGCATCTTTCCTCCAATGCCACGCTGCCCTTCAGGCACCACTGGGAGAAAGCTCATCTTGTCCCTTTTCAAGGCCTGTGGCAGTTCCCAGAGCTGATCCCTTTGAATTCTCTCATGGCCACACAGAAAAGCAGGAAAATTACACACTAAAATGAACAAATATAAATATGCCTGCTTCCAAGGAGAACGCTTGTAAAATTTCACTTTTTTTTTTCCCCCTTCAGCCACCTTAGCCAGGTGACCCAGCAGATGGACAACCAAGGAAAGACAGACCACTGCATATCTAGTGTGGTTTTGCACTGCCTCACAGAGGCAACGCTGGAGCCAGGAACAGAACACAGAAATATCAACTCTCTGGCTTGTGTTACCAGCCAGGGTACTACAGGTTGTATCTGTGTTGACAAAACAGACTTGCATATTGTTCAAAACCTGTTACAACAGAGCAGTTCCTGAAAGGCCAAAGGCCAGAAGGAAACCAACAGGTTGCATTTGTACTTTCAAACCCTCTGGGGGAGTTTCAGAGTTACAAAGGAACTTTCCCACCAGAGTCAGGCCTGCTCTCTGAGTGGGAACAAGACATTTGCCAATGCCAGCTATGACAACCTTTCCTCTTCCCCTGCTCTCCAGACCTTTAGACTTTGTTGGAGGGAACTTACAGAATCCCAGACAAATAACATTTGCATAGCAATTCTCCATCTCACAGAGAATTCAGACTAATTGTCTGCACACGAATCCTAGCAAGCATACCTTTGATTTCAGGGTCATCATTAGGAGTCCCAGCTTCCCTCTGTTCAAAGGAGTCTGCTGAAATGCTCCTCTCTCTCTTCCCCTTCCCCTTGGCACCATTTCCAGCCCCATTCTTCAGCCCCATGCTCCCACCTGGGCCAGGGAGCACTTTGGGGGTGTGACCTCCACTTTTGGGGTCACAGGGAGAGGGCTGGGATTGGCTGGTGGAGCCCCCTTGTTTGCCTTGGTTGGAAAATTTGGAATCCAGCTGAGGGTTGCCAGACGGGGACATCACTGTAGGGGGGCGGACCATCACCTCCTGCTTTGATTTGGGGCTACAGGGGACAGGAGAAAAAAAAAAAAGATAAAAAAAGTGACAAATCACACCATTGATTCATTCAGCCCTGTAGGAACAGATTAGAGTGAAGCAGAAACAACCACTGTCACCTTGCAAGCTAAAACAATTGCTGACACATAAAAAATGCCTGCAAGCTTAGAGTCATGCAGGTGCTTTTCTGAACATGCCCTGAAAGGGTTATTATCCAAGATGGGATCTCATTGCTCAAGAAGGCACCAAGGCAAACCACAGACCTGCCAGATCCCAGAAACTGCTGTCACATGAGGACCCACCTCTGGAGCTTCTGTCAATAAAGACAACGGTTTCTATGTGCACAGAGGAGCGCCTCACACCAAGACCAGCTCAGAGTAAACAAACAAGGCACAATAAAGTTCACCTCACCACTCTCCTGGACCCCAGCTACATGCTACAGCTCCGACCAGAGAAGACCCCCACCCCCCTCCCTTGCACCTCCCTATCCAGTTCTACAGGGAGCACAAGGAAAACCCAGCATTGCTGCAGCATTCGTCATACACCGGGGCGAGCTGCCAGGAAAACACAAACCTCTGACCGTGAAAACAATTAAACCAGCTACAACCTGCCTCTGAATAAGGAAAGAGAAGGAAGGATACCATCTCCAAGCACACTCCTGCAAAATGGGGCAGATGGAGCTTCCTTAATTTGCCAAAGCAGATTCAGAGTCTTTCCTTTCTTCTTCCATCCAGCAAATTGCATCCTAAAAATATTTTGCTCCTCTGGGTTTTACAGACATATTAGCCACCCCTTTCTCCTCACCCTCCACTTACTCCATTGCAATTGGATCTTCTGCATTGTGTTTTCCCATCATCACTATCACTTCCAACAGGCAGTGCTTGCTAGCATCCTCACTGTGGGACTCACACAAGCTGTTTCCTCCTTAGGAAAGACATCTGACTCAGAAGCATTCCCTCTGAAATACTCCTAAGTTCCGGATGACCTCTAGGAGTAAATAATCAAACCCAAGAATGCTGTCAATCAGACCATTCTAAGTCCCTGGGCGCCGTTTTGCTTCCATATTCTTCCCCTTCCAGATAAGTGGAGGAGAGATGCTGACCTGCTGCACTGGCAGGTGACTGACGCAGAGGATCCCAGTGCTCAGCAGATCAGTTCTCCAGGCTGCTCAGGCCAGTAATACAGAGGAAGCATTTTGTGTGAAAATACAGGCAGAGAGACCTTCTGCTGCCCAACTACCCCTTGGGAAACAGATAATTAGAAGAGGAGGGGGGGGGGAATCAAGACAGAAAAAGCATGTTTACTCTCCAACAGCCTGTTCAGGCACCTGATGGGAAGGGAGGAGGGCACGTGGAATAGAAAATCCACAGCTTTCAGCTCATCCTGAGCCTTGCAAACATGGAGACCCGTCAGCACTGTGCAGCCACTGCTCAGGCACTCAGTAGGTCTGATGGGAGCACGAAGGAGGGCCAGTGGAGCCAATCCAGCAGCACAGCAGGGATGGCAACACCCACCAACCCAGGGCAGCTGAGTGCAGGCTCTTCCCCTTACCTCTGTGTGTTGCCTGACGGGGAGTTCCTCACTTTGGGGTTACTGGAATGCATTGACAGAAATCCTGAGCTCACAGTCTCACACACACGCAGATGGGCTCTCGTCAAGTTCCCCTGGGGATCGTGCCGCCAGAGGCAGCGTCGAAGCGCTTCCTGCCACCCGCTCCTCTCAGTGCTGGCTGTCTGCTTGCCTTTTTTCTCTTGGCTCCTCGCTGGTTTTGCACTGGGCACTTCCCTCCTGCAGCTCCAGCATTCTCTAGACGCGTGCCTCCTGCCGCCCAGGGGAAGTCTCGCATCTCCAGGGCACCCTGCAAACCACCCCACGAGAAGAGAACAGAAAACCAGTGAGGAACTTCCCGAGCGGTCGTGGCTGGTGTGAGGCAGTACACGGCAATTCTTCCCCCATTCCCGAGAAGACACGGGAGAAGAGCTTTCAGGTGGATGGGTATTTCCAGACCAGAGGCAGCCCTGGCTGGCCACTCAGTTTACAGGCACTGAGGCCATCTTCTCTTTGTCCAAAGCACATCATTCTGGAGTCAATAAATCAGGGAAGCACCCTGTATCTGAACACTTTGATTCCACATCTGTGCTCAGCTTAAAGACACTTCATAGCAAGTCAGTAGAAAGTCAAAACTGCAAATCCCCAACATGAGTTAGCTATCCAGAATTCCCCTTTGAATGGCTGTAACATGATATTTCTTAGGAACATAAACTCTCCTTAAATCTTTTGTCTCCTTGGTCCAATATACCAAGACATACGCTCAATGATGTGTGCTAAGGGTTACACAAAGGGAGAAAAATAAAATAAAACACCTTCCTGGCCACCTGTAAGCTACCAGCTATGTGTGATTACTCTGAAAACACCAGGGGTTAGTCACTCATCATATCTACTTAGAAAGGCCAAAAAGCACTAGAGAAGTACCCAACTAAATTTGCTCAGCAACACTCTACAGACCATTGAGGCTTTAAAAAAAAAACAAACAAACAAACAAAAAAACACCACCCTCCCAAAAAAAAAAGACACTTTTTCAGCTTCTTTTTTAGAGACAATATGCATGACACGGGCAACAAGGCACCTAAAACTGTTTCTGGAGGAGGAAACTATTGAACATCACTGTTGACATGCTTTGGGCTAAATTATTTTGGAACAAATTTCTGTCTTGTTTATGTTTCAACAAAATCTCTCCTGTTCATCTCACCTACTCAGATGCAAATCCACTTAATTTAGAATCTAACCAAGATTTATTGTTAATGTATTAAGCATTGCTAGTTAAATATTATTCAAATGTAAATATTCCCGATATTCCTTCTCAGCACCAAAGAAGTAGTTTCTTCCTGTGTATATCAAATGAAACAAAATAAATCTTACCAGAACGGGAATGTCTTGAATTTTATGAAGAAATTACTGTTCAAAACTGCATTTCAGAAACAAAAATTGCCTTGTTTACGTGATGACACCAGAAGATTAAAAAACACTCTCTGACCACCTCTGGCCAAGGAGATTTATCAGCAACTCGTAGTAGTGAGCACCATGGTTTTCCAGTTCCCCAAATTTATAGAGTTCTGAGGCTGTGCCACTACACATTTTAGTGACTTTGCACTGCTGTACTTTAACATGATAGTGATCCAAACTGCAGCAGTTCCACAAAGCTCTGCATCATCTCCAAAAATTCTCCTCTCCACCACATGCCTCCCTCATGAGCCAGAGAAGTCACCCTGCTCCCCATTCTCACCTCCACTGTGCTGCACAAACCTATTAATACAGGGAATGTTTCTGCAATAAATATCTCATTTTAAACACCTCCTACTAGGCATAATCAGATGAACTCCAGTCTGAGCCACACAATCCAAAGGACCCACATCCTTCTCCAGGACTATTAGCTGGTTATCCCACTGATTTTGAGAGCAATGTTGGCTTTATCCTATCACTATTGTTATTACTATCATGCTACAATTGGAGCTGGTGCTATACAGACACACTAAAGATGAGAGAGAACCTCTTCACACATATCTAAATTGTATCATCTTTGCATGCAAATTTGGCTCCTATGTCTGTTTTGACAACAAAAGTGAAACATCAACAGCATCCAACCCCGCTTTTCAAGAGATTGATACGTCTGTAAAAGTCAGTGGAACTTGGTGATACTGCAGGGTCCTCACTTGAGGTGAAGGTGTGACTGAAAATACAGTGAATTTCAGGATAAAAACAAAAAGAGGAAAAAAAAAGAAAAAAGGCATAACAGCATTAAAGGGAGCAGAGCTTGATGTTTATAGCAGGACATAGATGCCTGCATGATGAACTCAAGTATTCTAGTTGTTTCATCCTCTGCTATTCCATTTGGATATTTATGCATTATGTTACCTTTTATTACAAGATGAGAATTGCCTCAGACTCCCAGTCTTGCACAGTGCAATGAGAAAACACGAACTGAAGAATCAGGATCACGCTGGCTACACGGTATTTCTGACATCAACAAACTTTCAAGCACTTCACCCGGGGGCGGGGGGGGAAACCTTCCGTTTTTTTAACCCTACTTTTTTATTCTATATACACATATCTTCCATCTATTAGAACTGATGCGCTCTGCAAGGGAACTGTATTTTCCAATCTCAGTTTAAATTTCTTCTTACCAGAGAGAGCTATAAAGGACACATCAATATATTCATTGGTGGAACAACAGCAACTCAACTTCCCCGGCTTCTTATTTCTGCACACTGGGAACGTACCATCTTTTATAATGTGAAGTGGAATGCCTCATGATTTTTCTCAATGCACTTCTAACATATGTATGTCTGGGAATCCAGGGTTCAATAATGGAAAAGCTCTAGAGAAATGTATTTTTGCAGCTGGAGTCTGCCTGCCATAGCAAAGCCTTTATCATTGCTCTAAAATTAAGGTCACTGACAGTGAATGGTCAAACCACTTCTCAAGATGTTTTGGCAAGTTACAAGGCTGTATTTTCGGCATTGCTTTAAGGTATGCCAGGCAATGGCTGCAGGGAAAAGGGATGGCTCAATTGGCTACTCGTTCTCACCACCTCTCTCCTGACCACATCAGGGAAAGATGTGAATGGGAACTAACCCAAGGGAAACAACAGAAATCCCTATTCAGCTGGATTCGCCCCCTGATCTGGTTGATCATGCAACCACATCAGTGCCGTTGCAAGCTCAAAGGAGGAGGTGAGAACAGGTGAAAATGCAGCCTCACCCCTCTCGGCTGCAGCCTACAATTTGGATGGCTTAAAATGACTTCAAATCTCAGTTGCAGAGACAAAAAAAGAGATGGATCTGCACTGGTGGAGATGGGACAGGTCCTCTCCTTTCCAACAAGTAGCTTACCAAGACCCCTGGTGTCACGACACGGCAGTACTCATCGTGGAGGCCATGAGTTGCAAACCACTTGTCTCACAAGAAACGATCACCTGGAAAACAAGAGAGGAAAAGTTTCACCAACAAGAACACAGCCAAGGCCAAGCTGTGCACCCCTTCCATGCACCCAGACACAGAAGCAGAGGAATCAAAGCTTGCTCTGAACCACCGACAAGGGGAAGCCTCTGCTCAGACTGGCAAGATTTGTCAGCACCCAAAAAGCCACCATCAGACTGGAAGAATCTGAAGAGCTGCCCATGGAGGAGAAATAGGTCAGACCTGCTTTAGCACTCCCACATTTCAGCCAGCTCAATTCCCATGAGCTCATCTGTGCTTAGAGAAGCTGACACAAAGCCTGGACATGTCACCTTCCCTTCTCTGCACCCATCTCTCTTCAAAGGCTCACCTTCCCCTCACTATGTGCTCAGCAACTCCTGCCAAACCCCTGTGCTTCGCATATACAACCTCCCCCACAGCCCGACATGTTTAAATAAAAACATCAAGCACCAGGTAGAGCCAGGCAGTCACATCTAGGGGAAAACCAGGCAGGTTTTAGGAGGAGGAGGCACTACCCACTGTTCTGACAGCTCCCACTTTACGTCATTGTACACACTACAGGGAGAAGGGAATCCAACGGCAACCCTTCCCAAGTAAGGCATACTGCAAGTCTGCTCGAGATAGAGGGGCCAACCCCACCCTGTACTATGGTTATTTCCTATAAGGTCAAAAGAGTCCATGGCCCAAGAACCCATCAGCCACATTTTCAGTAATACAGACAGCCCTGCATCAATTAATGCTCACTCACATGTTAAAGCAAGTTTAAGTGTCTGAAAGTTTGGTAATGCAAGGGAACACAGACTTTGAGGAACAGCTTAACAGCAAAACTGAAGTCAGTAAAAAAGGAGCCAGCTTCTCCCTCACCCACTGTGAAAACTGTAGAGGCTGCAAGAACAGTATGAATCCAGACAACACACACACTGTCAGGGCCAGCACAGTCTCTCAGAGCACTCTCAGCTATTTACACAGCACGGACAGCCCTGCAGTAAAGTATGACTGCAAACTGAAATCACCACCCGAGGTTTTCTGTGTAATCCCAATGCATTCTGCTGACCAGATCTCCCAACAGAAACGCAGGAGCTGGAGGCTCAATTAGTTATGCATTGTGAAACCCTGTGCATATTCTCTTCCCTCCAACATTCTCCAACTATTATCTACTGCAGCTTCACCTTAATAATGTAGCAAGCACTGCCATGTAATCCACTTCACAAAACCAAACTACAAAGCTAGGCCCAAACAATGCAGCTACATTCTCCACCCAGTCCAGCCAAATCAAACAATGAAATCATCAGCGTGATAGACCATCCTTATCTGGCCAAGTCACACCTGCAGACAGAAGCTGAAACAAACACCTATCGCAACAAGCTGCTTCATCCAGTAAAACCTACCACAGCAGCACAATCATCCCTGAATCCAATTACCCAGTAATATCTCCTCTCCCCTTTCCCCCACCCCACCCAATGAAACAATACAGGCTAAGCCATGCCAGTGCCAATACTGACACACCTCTACCAAAGCGGCGACAGAAATCACTTTTTCCCTTGAAGAGGAAAACGTGTGAACACCAGCACACAGCAGGATGGGCAGAATCTACCACAAACAACGGCCAAAGCTCTACTGCTTGAAACACTCAATCCCAACTTGGCAAAAAACTGCATTACAGACCACAGCTCAGGCCTGCTATAGGGGCACCATCCATCTTTTAGGCTACCCAGTCGGGCAATGTAATTCCATCCCCCAGTGTCCCATCTCTGCTGCTCACCTGCATGGTCTTAGTCCCCAGCCAGCACAAGACAGCTTGCTCTCCACAGTGATTTTGAGAGCACGAGGCTGAGAGGACGTACACAAGCAGCTACCACGGAGTAACCAACAAGATGCAAATGCACATCTTGGTTTACCTTTTGGTTAAGTATTTGTGAACCACCCCTGTACTTCTACAAACCAGCCACCATACTACTGCACTGCAAACAGAAGGTGAAAAAAAAACATCTAAACTAGCTCATTCCTACTTTAGGCCTTTAAACTGCAGAAGCTTGGTAGTGATAAGTGGTCAAGTACCTGGAGGTGTACAGCATTATGGCTGCTCCAGCAGGAACAGCTGCAGACATCACTGATTCACTTCAGTCTTTTCTCCCCCTCTTTGAGAAGGAGAATGTGGAGAGATGAAATAAAGGCATACCAAGTAGATAAAAGTATCAGACTTGTGGCCTTACTGTGACATGAAGCATTAAAGGCAAGAAACCTTTCTCTGTATACAAGAAAGAGCACGCTGCTATTTTCCCCGTGGCCTTTCTGAGACTGTCAGTCTGTGCTGGACTGAGGCTGGTGAGAGCCAAAAATCAGCATGGAAGAAGAAAAAAGGCTAGAGACCTGCTGCTACAGAAAACAAAAGATAACTTTGAATGGAAGCTGAGCCTGCACCCTGAATTGTATCTGTGGCAGTGGAGTGGGCAAGGAAGGAGAGAGAGCAGAGTAGGAGACTGCTCTGGGAAGAGCAGTAGCTTTAGGAGGGACCAAAACCAGCAGCAGCAGGAGGTATTTGAGCCACCACTCATCCTGACAGCCACCAGGAAGCAAACCTCTGCATGAGCATCCACCAGTGGATTCCCTGTGTGACCTGAGAGGTGGGGTAAGGCAATGAATCAGCCAACACGCTCCTTCAGCACAATTTTACTGGGAAGGGCACATCCTATTTCTCCGACCCTCATTCAACCACATAACAGGGAGAACAGCTGCACTGGCAAAAGGTGAATCCCCTACACTCAAGAGCTACCACTGATTTTCATCACGTGCTGCACTTACCAGTTTTGTTAAGCATTTGCTTATTTTACACACTTGCAGCTGTACTGCACATTACTTTTTAATAAGCTGCTGTTTAATGAAGTACTTGATTACACACCTCATTGATAAGGAGAGCAAGTGGGAAACAAGAGGACTCAGGAAGGGTTATTTAACACTTTTATTGAGCTGTCAGACTTCCTTAAGATCATGTAAAAGCAAACAGATAAATTGACATGAGTATTCTACACCCCACACATCTCCCCATGGCATTGGAGGATGGAGGGACACAGGACACTCTTCAATCCCTTGAACCAGCCCCAATTTCTAGACATGGCTCCCTACCATGGGCTATTAAATACACCTTTAAATCTGCCTCTACCTCTTAGCAAACGCTGCCCTCCTCATCCTTTCCCAGGAATGCATAAAGCACGTGCTTGTAACACAACTAGGATTGGACCCACCAGCATTCAAACAGGTCTGTCAAAAACGCAGCCTTAACCTCCTGTACACCAACTGCCGTGCTGGACCCAGGAAAGCGACTGCCACCAGCCCAAGCCAACCCAGCTCTATCCCTTCCATTGCTAGCACTTGTGATCCAGCTGAAAACTGGCACCAGATAAGACAGGAATAATTTTCAGGAGAAAACTTTCATGTTTCGTCCAGCCAGGTGGCCACATGCTCACTGTCACAAAGGAGGCAGCAGTGACTGATGTCACAAGCATGGACAGACCTGTGCTTGTTAAAATACACTTGCATCCATCTCCTGGATGGCAGGTTCCTCTGCCCTTTTTCCTAAACAAGGGCAGAAAATACATGGGGTACCTAAAGAACTGCTGGGGCTAAAGACATAGTGTCACATGTGCACATAAATTCACACGCCATCTGAACACCACACAACTCTGCTCTGCCATCAGTAGACACCCTGACTACCTACACTGTCCTGGCTCTTTCCACTGCAGGGTTTGCAGACCTCAGCCCTCAACCAAACTACACAAATTATCACACATCAGACTTTCAGCTGACATGCTCCACGTGCACCTTCTACCAGAAAGGCAGGGGCCACTTGCACGAGGGTCACCTCATATGGCACATGGACCATATTCCACCCAAAACAGCTGATGATTTGTGAAAAATACCATGTTCTATCCTTCCCTAGTAAGCCACAAATCCCCCTTACTTATAAATTATTTTCTCAACATCAAGAGATAACTTGTCCACCTAAGCTGAGCAGACAGCAACTCACAGCCAGTCATCAATTTCTAGATGGTCCTAACTTGTTCTGAAGCAGAGTGGACTTTCCTGTGTTTATGTCTTGCCAATAAAAAGTTATGGCATACACAAAGTCTTCAGTTTCACAAAATATTCCACTTACCCCCGTCAGAGAAATCACTGCTAACCCAAAGTCTGCACAGTATTACATCTCTGCTCGCAGTCTTGCACTGGAAATGACTCTCAAGCAACAGAATAATCAAGAACTTGTCACCTGAAGTTATTTTGCTACATGAATGTGGGGACTACACAACCTCCATAGAGAAAACACCTTCTCCGTGCACATGGTGAGTACACACCTCTCTGTTAAACTCCAAATGAGTTGGTTATTGCCTACAGTTACCTCCAGCCCCGAAGCACAGAGAAAGGGGCTGAGCAAAGACAAGCTCACTTAAAATTAGCACCTTGAAGACCTACGAGCACACTGACATGGAAAGAGCACGCAAGATTCTATGCCATTACATGGGAGAGGAGCTCCTCTGACTTGCTCAACTTAATGTAAGAATTCAGGACCACAGGAATAAGCCTCACAGAAACTGTAGGAACATATTTAATCACCCCTGTGCAAATGAAGTATGTGTGGTCATACAACGTAGCTCTGCTGAGCCTACCTGTGCCTGCCCGTATCTCAAGTCAGACAGTACAGATACCCTTCCTCCCATAATTCCCCCCAAACTCCTATCACCACACACATGGACATCTCCCAAAGAACCAATCTGTCCTAAAGTCCATCCAGAACAGCAATGGCCACAGGAAATTCAACCTTTTGGTCTCCATCCTTAAAATGTAAAGTCAAAGCAATCACTGACAAAGCACAATACAAACCCAAAGGCTCAGGGCACTAAGTGTTTTACGATGTTTCTCGTGTAACCATCCCCTTCTCTCAGAAAATGGTATCTCTAGCAACTATTCACTTCCTCCTGCTGGCAAGCACATGGATAACCAACAGTAGCCACAAAGCATAAGTAATTAGTATTACTATATAAGTAATTAGTATTTTTAGGTACTTTAAAAAAAATCATTCTGAAATAGTCTTTTGCAACAAACACATTACCCACCACTCTCATAAGCACCACTTTTGAGAGCTGTGAGTACCACTAACACTTTTTGTCAAACAGACAACTACTTGCCCATTAAACCTTTTTTCAGTGCATCAAACAACATTTCAGTGCATTATTAATCCAGTGGGGACGAATGACTGTCCTAGACAGCTTCTGACTCTGTACGACTCCTTCCCCAAAGTAATGGAGGAGACAGACACTTATGGATGCTGGTGAGCAGATCCAAGGTGTACAGAGACAGACACGAAGAGCCTTTTAATTTCCCAGCTGCTATTATGTAGACAACACTCCAACTACTTGGTCCACCTGGGACTCAAACAAGCTCTTGGCAGATTCTGACACAGTTCCAGAAATCAGTCTGGGGGAAAACGCCAAGAAGAAAAACCCCTAAAAAAAAAAAAAAAAAAAAAAAAAACACCTCAAAGCCTAAGCTACAACTATCTGCTTGGGTACAGGAACACTATGAGCACTTCCCCTTGGTGTCCATGCCATGCCAGCCTCTCCAGCAGCAGTGGCATTTGCAGGTCAGCCAGGCTGCTGCCAGGGCGCTGGGGACGCTGTCGCGCACCCCACAGCGTCACACTGACCTCAGCCCAGCACCCCTGCACAGCTGCCAGCACCAGCTCAGCTCCACCTCTGTTAGCAATGCTGGGAGCAGCCTATGTACTTTACAGCTGGAGTTTTAAGCACCTTACGTGGGGTGTCACTTGCCTGAGCAGCAGCCCCTCTGCCCTGCCGTTCCTACTGTTGTTGACACCGGTAAGGATCAGCAGCTCGAGCAATAAGGGATTTTTCAAGAAATGTTTTAACAGTATTTCCCTAATATATGACAGGCTTCCCACATCGTATTAGCAGGTAACAGCCCCAGCATCAGTCAGCATTGCATGCAGAAGTCCAGTGGACAATGATAAGTTTTCCACAGGTTGTTTTCACTGCTTTGGTTTCTGTCAAAATTTCATCTACTTTTCAGGAGTTAGGTAACATGTTCAGAGGCAGAGGCAGTCTTCTCCCCCTTACTTCTCTGGGTTTATCTTTTCAAAAATTTAAATAGGGACATCTGCATGAACAACCATGGGTAAAAGACACCTGTATCAAGCTTGCCAGCAGCCCATTATCTAGAAACTAATCTGTGGGAAGGGAGTGGGGGGAAAATATGCTGAAATAATGGATGGGAAGACAGGACCGAGGAGACACCAGTTTGTTCTTCAACAAGTAGTAACGTCACACCACTTAAGCAGAAGGCTTGGGAGAAACAAGTCACCTATCAGTTCAGCCTGGGGGGAAAAAAAAGGGCTTTTCCCTTTCCTTTCAGCATCCCTTCAACGGGCTTCCAGAATGAAAGATAAGAAGCAATCCTCAGGCATAACTCCCTGGGCTGCAATCTTGTCAGTTTTCATGAGCTAAGTGAGGCTGGGATGGGTCAGCACAGGACAGAGCTCCTCTGAGGAAAACCCAGTGCTACATGTAGCGAGCAGTAATTCCCTGGTATGCTGCAAGGGGACACAGCGCCCATCCCAGTGACTGGGGGCGACCCACACACCTTCCTCCCTTTTAACCTTCACCTCTACAGGCATTTGGTCTCTCTCATCCCAAACGAGTAGTTTTTCAAGGCTCCCCTGAGTATCACTACCTTCCAGCACTGCCTGTCCGACCAGTTTTCTTTCAGGACTGTCACCACCAGCCATCCTTCTGCTCTTCTCCTCCTGCTGTTCTTTGGCACCTGGGGAGCTCAGCACCACAAAGCTGCCATTCCCACAGGGACAGAGTTGGAGGGTTACTATACCCCCTGCAGCTTACTGCTGGGCAAGATGAGTGTCAGGGGGTGCAGTGAACCTCTCGCTTCTTTGCTTTTAGACCCACATTAGGCACGTGAGATGTAGCACGACCTTTAGCCCCACAGTGCAGCGCTTCCACACTGGTTTCCTTGTCGCTAAATGTAGGATCTTCCACACAGCAATGACTCTTCTAAGGAGTGAGGCACTTCAAAGAACTCCAGCAAGCAAAGACTGCATGTACACAGTACTCCACGATGCTACATGATTATATCAAAGCTGCCGGGATGAAAAACTGACATTTGATAAATAACATGAGGTCACCTCAAAGATCTCAGAACACCGCACGTAAAAAAAAAAAAAAAGGTTATTTTGACAAGAAATTAAGCAATTGTATAATCAGGTCTATTATCAAATCTACTGCTTTGACACGATCTTATAAAAGCACGAGGAGCATGCAATTCCAATTGCTGCGGGATCCTCCCTCACTCGACACAAGATGTAGGCATTTAATATTCTTCTAGTTAGCCACGCATGTACAGCAAAGCCTAACGCACTTCAAAGTATTTACTGTGCTGTATAAACAGAGCGCTACTTTCAAAGACTCATAACTGTCAAATCAAAGCTAGCTTCCACCAGAGCATCCAGGAGCATTTCTGCTGGATGGTGGCTATCTGCCTGACAGTTTCAACCTTCTATCCCCAACCACAAGAAGGTTAAAATTTTTATATATATATATATATATACATATGTATATTTTTTTTAAGAGACAGAAGAAAGCGTTTTCTTGCTAACAAGCTGTCAAGTCATTTTGGCCTGAAGTTCTTTGCTCCTTTCTCACACGTACACATCAAATGTGGTGGAAAACTTCCATTCCACTAGAAGAAGCTCTGAGAAGAGTTTCTCCATACACAGGACTGCCCGAGCTCTCCATTGTAACAGCTCTCACTGTTGAAGCTGCGGCCGCTCGCCTCAACAGGCTACGGCTTGGTTTTATATTATACTGCAAATACATTTCTAATCAACCCTCAAACAAACCCAGATTGGTACACAGATAAAACACTGCCATTTCACAGGCAGTGGAACAGCGATATCAAGACACCTGAAGAAATTTGTTCAGTAAAATGCAGAAAGCAAAGCTCTGAGCCACCTGAAAAATGGTCTGGTGCTGCTCCTACCCAGTGTTTTCATCAATAAACCACTAAACCAGAGTTTTTGTTCAGGTCTTCACAACTCTGTACACACTGCAAAGGTAGCAAAGATAGCCTGACATGGCATACACAAGCAGACTCACAGACCTAAAGCAATTTGTAGAGCATATGTAACATGGTCGAGTAGATAAATCACAGGCTCTGTTCTCAAGTTTGTCACCAAATCCAACCTAACCTGGTTATAAAAGAGCCCATGGGCCCCAGCTGCCCCCTGATAAGGTAAAACAGATATCTGCACCCTTTGTTCAGAAGGCACAGAGGACAACAACAGGCACACGGGGACCATCAGGTGACAAGATGGGTCAGTGATTTAAAGCTCCCTTGCCCTGCTGCTATGCAGACAGCCCCACCAGAAAGCCAAGGAGCAAAACCACAGTGGCACTGCCTTCTTAAGAGGCCAAACAGCCGTGAGAGCATGAGAAAATGACAACCAGCTCAGAGTAACTGCAAATGCTAGGAGCTGGACAGGCAGCTGTGTGGCTACCTGTGCCTGAACAACAACTGCTCTGAACTCAAAACAGAAAACATTAAGCTCTCCCTCAATTCCATATGCAGCTAAATTATTGTGTATATCATGCACTCTTTTTGTCATAGACTGTACCACTAAGGAGCACCTAAAACCAGCACTGTTTTCAAGACTACAGCACCCAATTTTCAGTGAGTTCTTGGAGTACATTGCTCTACCACCTCTCAGCCCTGCTTTGCTGAGAGAAATCATGTCACTGGTAAAGCATACTTTCCAGATTCCTTCCTTCAAAAGGATTTCATTGATTCTACCTAGGCTTTAAAAAACAGTCCACCGTTCATCTCCCTTCCCTTTTCCACAAGCTCCCTCTCAGAGGCCAAACAAGGAAAATCTCACGTCTCCTTTTAAGTCTGTCCGAAAACAAAGGAATCTTGGAGCAAGTCTATCTGTTCTAAACAGATAACATTCATTCTTCAGATACAGTAAAAATTTCATAACAGTCTTTAAATAAATTCAATGAGTGTTGCCAAAGCAGATCAAAACCAGAGCGCTCAGATCCGACCCCACCGAAGAGCAGGTAAGAACAACCCCAGGAGGAGCAAAGCAAATGTGAAAACTTGGGTAGCAGCAGTTCACCTCTCGATAGCCACACTCTGGTAGCTCAGATCAGGTTTCAGGATGGCTCACCACGATCCAACCAGAAGCCTGTGCAGTTGAAAGGCGCATCTCACACACTGGTCTCAATCAAGTTTCCAGAGAAGTGTGTGAGAACCCTGCAGCAAACCCAGGCACAACAAGCTATTCCCTCCCTCTCTTTCCCAATATAGAAGCACATCTGTTAGAGCAGAATAAAAAACAAGGTTTAGACCACAGGCTTAATACCTCTTCCAAAATTTCTACTGTCACTGATTACGATAATTGAATATTCTTCATATTCCTACAGACATCTGATGCTTTTTAACTCTTGTTGAATTCTTGCTCCTGATGATTCTCACAGCATGAGTTTCACTGCTTAATTGCAACCACACTAAATAGTCTATAGTCAATTTACAGTGCATGTTCTGTATCATCAGGCAGTCTTGACACAGCAGAAACTTTTCCATAGCTAAACCACCACACTCTTCTTTTTGCCCTGCTTAAAGCTCCTTAAAGAGGGTTTCTCTTTTGATACCTTGCCTATACGTTCAGAGATGATTTTTGGCAAAAAGAACAAGGTAAGCTGAAGGGAACTGTTCTCAGGCAAGGGAAGCTGTAACAAACAGGTGTAAAAAAACACTTAGCAAGTTTAGCAGGCTCTTGGGGTATAGTCAGATGAGCACTCCTTTTTGGCAGCAATGGCAGCTTAAAGAACTGCTGCTACCAATATTTACTTCCACCCCTGCACCACACTGTCTGATGTGCCCATACAACCGCTTGTGTGGCCAAACAGTGAACCAGTCTGGCAAACTGATGCAGGCTAAGTATAATCTTTTTTTTCTTTTTGCCAGGCTACTCATAATCCAGATCGACTCCTGGATCCTTTCAGCATCCAGCTGCTCCAGCAGCAGCACCAGCAGGGTGGCGCAGAGTCAAAACGGGCAAGCACCAGGGACTCCTCACAAGCCAACTCCAGCACTGAAAGAAGTGCTAGGCCCCCACAGGTAAGGGTGCAGCCACAAAGCACAGCCCTGCTTCTTCAAAGATATAAATTAAAAGTCAACACTGCAACAGTTCACTTAGATTCGGCACATTAAAATGTCACCTACTTTTTCTAACTAGCGTTTGTGAGCCGGAGGGGTCTTAAAGGCAACCCTTCAGAAATGTCCCAACAGATAGATTTTTTTGTTTTGTTCTAGTTCTTTGGCATTATCAGGAATTCCTAATTATAAACAAGGTTCCTGTTCTTCTGGACTTGTGTAGTCCCTACCACAAAGGAGATCGAGCTCCAAAATGATTAAACTTTTAAAACACAACAAAAAAAAAAACAAACCTAACAGACAAGTAAGGGTGTGTGAGGGAAAGCTATTTTAAATCCAATAGGCAGAGCAGTGCTTGGACAAAAACTCAGCAATGAAATCTCCTTCCATTCACAAATTGCCCTGAAAACCTGAGTTAACACCTTGACTTTGCCAGCAGGAAGACTACAGGGACTCCAGCAGAGCTTGTAAGCAGGAAATCCAAGCCCACAGCAAAACTTGCTGGGTTAAAGGACTTCATATCTATGTAAACAGAGCATAGAACTTAGCAAGGCACAGGGATTTCTGTGAAGTCCAAGGCCACGCAAGCTAGTTAGAAGGATTTTATGAAGGCTGCCTGCATTGCTCTGAAGAAATTCTGGTAAACTTCTAGAAACCAGAGGAGATGAAGCCCTGTGAGACAGCACAGCTCACATTTAAGACAGAAATTAGTTTGAATACTCACTTGGGTGTAAATTGCTCCACAGGATAAAGCTGTTGTTGGTCGGGTTTGGATTTCTTTTCCTACTGAATTTATAAAAGATCAACAAAATTCCTAAGCCATAGGCACAGTTTGTAAGGCCAGAGAGTCAACAAACAGAGCATGTCAGGAACTCAGAGGAAAAAAACATCTAGAAAGAAACATGTAGAAATAGGTATGGGAAGACAACATGTTACAGAGCAACAAGCCTGAATGGCTATCAAATATGGATCAAAGGCACTCCATTCTTATCCACCTCAAACGTATAAACTGCTCAGAAAAGCTGCTGTATATGAACATTTTGGCCTTGTGGCTCATAGTTGCCTTAGTTTCTATATTTGGATATTTTGTGACAAATGTAGTTTCTCTGGTTGTGGACTGACCCTAACTGAAAACAATCCAAGCCATGAACTGTAAAGATGAAATGCAAGATGGGGGGGTTGGAAGGGGGAAACACAGGGAAGAAAGAGTCCACACTCTTTGTATTCACAATATACAGAAGAGATCTACAAAGTTTCTGGTTGTATGAACAGAAACTATTTCTTTTCTTTCACATTAAAATTCAGTTCCTGCCTAGCTTAGAAGACTGTGTTGACCAATAAACAAATTAACTTATCACAAGAGAGGAAAGCAAAACACCTTCCCAAAACAAACAACTACAAAAAGATGGTCACAAAGGTACTGTCATAGCC